GTTAATAAATTTTCATTTTATGAATGAATGGATTGCTGGATAGTGGAGGCCTTCAAGGTATTTACATTTCCAGATAGGAAATCTGTACGAGGAGACTAGACATTCAACTGACCGGAAAAAAAGTAGTTTTAAAGGCAAATTACTGATTTTTTTTTTCGTATCGGCCTTTCTATTCTCCCTTATTCTTTGATGAGATACACGTAGCCATTATGAAACAGAATAGAATTCCCTGATATCTCCCAACTGGTATTAGAAGGTATTGATTTCAGTCTTGCTATTTTCTGAGAGGCGAATAAGGTAATCGATGGGGGTTAAAATCAGTTTTCATCTTCACTCCATATGGGTGACCCTGTTTGAACCAAGAGCTTGGCTTCACGTCAACCTCTTCACTCCCTCATTTCCAAAGGAGTTCACTCTGTTTTGGTCCTTCTTTCTACTGTGTTATCATAACCTCCACAATCAGATCACGTTACTTCCCTACTTAAAATTCCTCTGTGACTCACCATTGTTTTCAGGATAAAATCCAAATTCCTCTGAACAGTGTACAAGGTTCTACAGAATCTGCTTCTTGGTTGCTTTTCTCACCACTCTCACCCCCTCACCAGTGCTCCATGCCTCCAACTCCGCTCTCTGTCATCCTGCCTTTGCACATGCTGCTCTCACTGTTGGGAATATTCTCCCCTATTCTTCAACCTGGTGCTTGATACATGTGGGAACCCAATACATGTCTTTTTAATGGTTGATAACTTTTCTTTAAACACCCTGGGTATGCATTAGGTGACAGTATATGAATCTCTGAAACTTAAAAATCCTTATTCCATACTAGCATCCAAAACTAATTCTCTCCCTTACACACACACACACACACACACACACACATGCTTTCCAGAGGACATCACTGCATTCCTACCTCATGTTTCATCTGGAAGTTCTGCACAAGGTTGAGGTCAGCGAACATCCGGATTGTGCACAGTGCCGTTTCCAGGTCAGATAGCTCAAAGTCACTGAAGCTGAAGTCGGTGATTTTAAGGGTCTGGGCAGATGGTACCATGGCAGCCTTAGGTAAGGGGAGAAGAAGAAAGTGAGATAAAGCTGTTAAAGCAGCAGTGATTCACAAAGTTTTCTTGCTTTGCTATGGGGAAATAGCACACTGTGTTTATTTTTTTTTCCTTTTAATGTCATATACTAGAAATCTTTTAATGTAGAAGTTACTCCTTTTTTTTTTTTTTTAAACTGAGCCACATGTGGGTAACTAATATGGTTCCAGGTAGGCCAGGTGGAGGAGAGAGAGTAACTGTACCTAGAACAGTAGGCAGAACTAAGGACTCCAGTGATCCTGCCCCTTTATACCTCCGCAGTGTTATTCGTTCAACAGATACTTATTGAGTAATTATTGGCCCCGTCCCAGAGGATAAGTGGTGAGCAGGATAATGATAATGTTCTAAGCATTTTACATTTAATTCTCAAGACAACCTTATGAAATCGATACTCTAGCTCCATTTTTCAAGTACAGAAACATGAGCATGGATGAACACTTCCTTACCCATGGTAGCACAGCCAGGTAAGGACTGGAGCCTGGCTTCCAATGCAGACAGACTATGCTGCTCTCAGATTTGACACAATCTCTTATCTAGAGACCAACAGAACCTACTTTACCCAATCCTGACCACAAGAATCACCTAGGGTGCCTATTAAAAATAGAATTAGCGGTCTTCCCTGGTGGCGCAGTGGTTGAGAGTCCGCCTGCCGATGCAGGGGACACGGGTTCATGCCCCGGTCCGGGAGGATCCCACATGCTGCGGAGCGGCTGCGCCCGTGAGCCATGGCCGCTGAGCCTGCACGTCCGGAGCCTGTGCTCCGCAACGGGAGAGGCCACGACAGTGAGAGCCCCGCATACCGCAAAAAAAAAAAAAAAAAAAAAAATAGAATTAGTGATTCTGATTCAGTAGGCCTGGGATGGGTTAAGAAACTGGTTTTTTGGAAAAGGATCTGTTTTTTAATTAGCATCCTCAGTTTTGATTTGTTAGTCATTTAATTGTAGTAAAACACTTGCAATTTCTTCAAATACACCTTGCTCTTTTTTTTTTTTTTTAAATCAATGTTCCTTTTACCTCCCGCTTCTCCTACTTTCTTTAACTAAAGGACTTAAGACACAGTTCCCATCCAAAGAAGAGTTAAATGCCCTTCAGAGCTAAGCCCACCTTGGGAATACCTGTTTAATTACACGAAGTTCACTATAATGTAATTTCTTGTTTGTCTCCTAAGTACACTGCGACTGACAGGTGGGGCTGTACCTTACACATCTTTGTATCCATTGTGTCTACTGATGGATACAGTTTTGGTATTTGTTAATATGAATATTTATTAAATGAATGGAAGGGAAAAAATCTTATTCCCTTCACTTAATTTGAGTTTTAAGTTCTGGTTTTAAGGTCCCAAAACTTCTTAGGAGAGTGGAGCCCATAAACTTGAGTTAGAAAACTAGCAGACCTGGCAAATGCATTCCAATTTGTTTGGTTTGGTACTGAATATTTTTTAAAAACCACCGAATTTGTTATACTATTTAAAAATTGGGAGAGTTTTAACAATAAAACAGGATTTCTGGCGTCTCCTGGAAAATCCGGCCACGTTGAGCCCCAATTCCCATGAAGCAATGCTGGCCACAGCCGAGGCCCCCCGGCTCCCTCATACTGAGCAAAGCTGTCAGGCTTCTCTCCTAGATTTCCTGCCGCGGCCCTGCCGGCATGAGAACTTGTAAGAACCCTACTCCTCCATCCCCTTGACTATTCACTCTGCCAGCACTGTAACTGCCTTAGCCAGATGTGGCTGAGATTGACGTGATGAAAAGAGGCTTTAACTTGGTGTGGGGCAGAGGGAAGAAAACCAGGTTCTTTCCAATGTTTTTTCCTTGATTCCTTCCAAACCCCTTAAATTTCTTCTGAGAATCTGGTATATCACTTCTCTGCCTTCCCTCCATCTTTTGTGACGTAAAAAGGTCAAAACTACTAAAACCTTATGGAGCAATCTAGAACTTTCCCTATCAGCCTGAGGGCGCGGGCACATTCTCTGCTCATCGGGACCCTCGTGTTTTACTGACATATACCAGACCTGACTAAACTTTAAAAGAATGTCACCCTTTTCATACTCCAAACCAAGACTCTTTTGCCCAAGCCCAAAATTCACGAGGAAATACGCCTTCTGTTCAGTCAATTCGACAGGCTAATGCGTGGGCTGAACTACGGGAAGAAAGGAGGGCTGAAAATGCACCGAGAAAGGGTAGCGCTGTTTACACCAGCCTCCAACATCAAGACGGAGCAGACAGCTTGAGGGGACCGGGGAAGTGTGGAGGTGGGAGTAGGCCCACCTTTTAACTCAGAGCAGATGACAGCTGCTTCCCTTAAACATTGCACAAGAGAACAGATGTTTGTTCCTTAGGGCATCATTATTCTTAGAGCAGGAAGTTTTCCCTCTTTCCTTCCACAAAGGATATTCTAAACACTACGGGATGAAGACGGCCAACATGGCTTGTGCCTCGCTCCATTGTACACTCTAACTCCCGACAGCTCTCTCCTGAGAGCAAAGACGCTTCTCTTCTGCTTGTTCAGCCACGTCACACCACGACTCAACCTTTCTAAGCTGACCTGGGGGGATGTGCAGACATTTTCCTTCAGAACCTTGTGGTCAGTGATACAGAGGTTCGGAATTCTTGGGATCGATTGCTAATAAGCCATGAGAAAGTCACACATCATTTAAAGCTCTCGTAAACTGCTTCTCTGACCATCACAAGAGAATTCAACTTTCTGTCTGCCCTGAAAGGGCTTGGGATAAAGGGGATTTTAAGTAAAACATATTGCCTGTCATTCTAACTTACCATTTTATAAAACGAAATAGTCTACATCTTACTAATAGCAGGGAAAAAATATGTGGTATTTCTGGGAGAGGTTATGTATATACAATTCTGGATTTTTATAGCTTCCTTCACTGACCGTTTGATTTGTTAGAATTTGCAAAGTGAGACTTCTGACTTTATTTTTCTTTGGGGGATAATATAACTTATTGCATCATGACAGTGAAGACAAACAAGTAACATATTTTATAGATTCTGTAAAGCTATAAATGTGTATATGTATTATGGTTGACTAATCCAATCTGAACTTCTGGAACTACGATACCACCTAACACTGCACAATACTGCTTATTTCCCCACGTGAAAGCACAGCGCCTGTGAACTCTCAGGCAACAGCAGTTCGACACTTTAGTGCTTCATCTGAACATAGTTAAGCCTTTCTAGGGTCGGGAGTTCTAATTTGTGTGAAATTAACCAAATACGGAATATAAAGGATATACAAAGCTCCCTGGGTTAAAGATTCAACCTGGCAAACCGTTTGGTAGTACAAAGTCATTTTTCTTCTGAGTTCTTTAATTATATCTGCCACTCAAACTCATAAAGAAACTAGTTACCTCTCGTGACTCTTTAGAGGAAATTCTTCATTCAAGTTCCTTTTTTATGACTCTTTTTTTCTAAAGTCTTGATCCCTTTTCACCATTCTTGCAAAAATTAAACAAAACAAAACAAAACTCTGGAAGTGAAATTCACTAAGGGTGGAACTGGACATATCCTCAGGAGTAGGACTGGATTGGGTTAAAGGAAGCAGTATTCAGAGCTATAAAAATACTTTAACTGCTCAGTGATCTTTAATTAAAACCAGCTGTTCTGAGTGCCATCTGACTGATGAGGATCTATATAATAAACTGATCACCAGCCGGCATTATCCTAGATCAGCTGCCACATCTGCATTTGGCATTAGATAATGATCATAAAAAGAGAAACCTGAAAGCAAGGTGAAGCACATGGTAAAGGAATGTTTGCTATTAAGGGTTCTAGTCCCGATGTCCCCCTGACTTTGTCACCCTGAACAAGATGTTCAACCTCTGCCCATTTTTTCACCTGTAAAATGAGGGGGTTGTCTCTAAGGTTTAATTTATCTCTGTGTCCACAGGACTCCAGGATCTATAACTGCCTTCTCACTTTGGAATCCAAGGCCACCCTGTGAGTGGCATCTAAATCTTGCCAGTGACCTTCCTGTACAGGCCCAAGCTCCATCTCTGACTCTCTCACCATTTAAGGTAAATGGATGGTGCTCCTTAGCTGTTACGGTTATACTATGCTTTTCATGGGTATGTGGTAGCCTCTATACTTACTGCAATAATGCTCTAAATGAAAAATTGAGTTTTTGGAAATTGCCATCATTTGATTTTTTTATGCAAGGTGGGGAGAGGTGTCTATGTTTTTGCCATTTGTTTTCAAGGTTAATTAATGCTGTCTCTTTCACTTCCGGGTCTCTGTGGTAGATACTGTAGCAAGATTCCATTAACATAACATCTATTTCAACCTTTTCCTAGTGAGCCTTCATTTTCTGAAGAGTTAAGAAAGCTCAAAAATATATTTCCCTGACTCCCTTTCAGCTAGGGTTCCAGATGAAATTTGGTTTCTTCAATGAGGTATACTTGAATTTCAAACTAACACAGTGCCTACCACATGAGGAACCCGTTTTTCTAAAATGTGGTTCCAGCAGGTGTTATGCAGCTGTGGAGACTTCAGTTCTGGCAGCAGCTTTCTCACTCCCAAAATATGCTGCGATGGTTGATTCTTGAAGGAGATGGCCTAGTGGCTTTCTGATTCTGGCTTACATGAAAGTTTCCAAAGTGAGCCAGATCTCGAAACGCACGCACAATCTTATCCTGTGGGCTGCTGAATGACGGTGTAGGATGAAATCACCGACTTGCCGTATCTCTTATGTGAACGTTAGAGCACTGATCAGGAGCAAGTGGGGCACCAAGAATGGAACCGAGACATTTAAGAAGATGTGGATAACTACACATATCCCAAACCATTCACTCTAGAATATGTGTCTATAGTATATAATTTCATGATGCCTATACTTTACAGTCATAGCTTTTTTTCTGATAATTATATAATATTATATAATTAAGTTATACATATAGTCCTTCATTATTCTTTAAGTTCCAAGAGGACAGAGATTGATTACTTATTGTTATATTTGGAACACCTAATATAATACCCACATAAAATAGGAGATAAATGTGAATGTATAAATGAAAAACTTTTTGTGATCACCCAGCACCTAATCAGTTCTTCATAATATTTACTTTAATTTGGCAAAGAGCTATAACACAAACATTAGTAATGAACCATGCTGAGTGAGACACAATGGATAAATTATAGACTGTGCCTTCTTCTCTTACAGTTCAATTATTCACTTTATTTACTTTTGAAAATTTTTTTTATAGCTGAATTCCCTCTTTCATCTGCACAATGAATACTTCGCTACTGTAATTTTAAAAACTCAGCTTCAGCTTGTTTTAAGTGTCATTGAATTTTGATTGATTCACTTGCAAGAACACTGGAAACTCAGGATGGGAAAGCAATGACCAAAAGTTTTCTACTTTTTAGCAGCTCTGGGTAGGATGTTACTTAAAATGGTCAACTCTAGATAACTCCCCTCAAGTAGAGAATTGGTTACACTTCACAAACAACAGGTTTACATTTATTTTAGAACACATGGTGCTTTTTTCTTCCTACCTGTTTTCCACCCACCTGTTGTTCTTTTTTGGCTAATTCAAAAATGAGTGCATACTTTTGTATGGTTGTTAGCATAACTGACACCATCTTGGGCCCATACAGTTCCTCCTGTCCTTCCACTGACCCTCCCCAGGACTGTACTATATGGTAAATCATTTCTGCGTCATCAAGGGCTTTGTAGTTAATAGATATTTTTAACAATCATTAGGTCCAGGTGGCCTCTATGCTCTGTTAGCTCCAAACAATGATGAAGACGTTCACTGACGAATTCCCAGCGCCCCTGAGACTAGCTACCCATTCATAAATCTTGACTTAGGAATGCACTCCCTGTTTCCAAGCACATGCCCACATACCCGTATACCCTAGATTAACCATAAATGGTTATGGTGGTGTGGCCCCTCGGTGGGGTGGCGTGCAGCTGTGAATGCTTCCAAATTGTTGTCCATCCGATCCTACCCTGTAAGTTACACTACGATGAACTGATCCATTGATTGTATGGAGCTGCCTGCCTTGTTTTTCAGTCTCAAGATACCTTCTCAGTTTGGTGGGCACTTTTCATTCCCTCCATCCCCCAACAACTTTCTTGATGGTGCATAATTAGAATGGCTTGGAAAAGGCTTGGAACATGACGGAGAAGATGAAGGCCTCAATGTTGCTCCTACTACGTTAGGAGAACTGCTTTTCCTCCCACTATCACCACTACTAATAATAACTGACACATAATAGGCGGGGGAGGCATATGTACCAGGAACTCTGGTCACTACAACTCTCTGAGGTAAGTTCTTTCATTATTCTCTTTTTACAAATGAAGAAACTGAGGCTCAGAGAAGTCACAGATTTACCCGAGATCACGGAGCTGGAATCTGAACCTAGACATCTCTCTCTAGACTCACGTTCTTAACCATCATGCTATATTCATGAAAATGAAAGCTCTATGACCATTTAGCCACTGTTTTATTCATTTCAACAACTATTAAATTATTTCTAGCTTCATAATCACTTTAAGAAAAAAGAAAGCATAATCTTGTTGAATGCATTGAAGGATCGTGAATTGTGTTATTTCATGCTAGATTATAGGCTTCCTAAAAGTCTGAATTTTCCAGAATCATTCACTCAGTTACTCAACAAAACATGTAAACCAGGTTCCTGTTAAGCAATCACGAAATAGTAGCTATTATTATGACTCAAGAACTAACAGTCTGATGGAGAAGACAGACACACAAAAAATTGAAATATATCGTTTAAGTGCAACAACACAAGGATGCTAATAAGTTTGCGTAAGTGATCCCTAACAACACAATGACAGAGAATGTAAGTACACATTTAACTACCTTTTTTAGTCACTTGTAATAGTTAATTTTATGTCGCAACTTGACTGGCCACAGGGTGCCCAAATGAAACATGATTTCTGGGTGTGTCTGTGAGGGTGTTCCTGGATAAGACGAGCATTGGAATCTATGGACTCAGTAAAGGAAATTGTACTCCCCAACATGCGAGGGCATCATCCAATCCACTGAGGGCCCGACAGAACAAAAGGTGGAAGAAGGAGGAACGTGCCCCTTCTTGCTTCCTCCAAGCCCACTGGAATGGGGGTATCTCCTATCTTCTCAGGCACTGGGCCTGGGATTTCAACAATCAACTCCCCTGTTCTCAGGCCTTTAGACTCAACTCAATGACACCGCTGGTCTTCCTGGGTCTCCAGTCTGCAGACAGCAGACTGTGGACTTCTCAGCCCGCACAAGCATGTGAGCCAACTCCTCAGAATCTCTCTCTCTCTCATTTACGCATATATAAAATCTCCTTCTGTTTCTTTTTCTCTGGAGAATCCTGACTAGTAAGGTCACCTATTTTTCTAAAGTCAAAGAGAATTGTTCCTGAGCTTTATCAGTACCTTACCTAAGACAAATGACAGCCCTTCTTTTATTCAACTATTTCTTATTATGAAATAAGTCCATTTACACAACAAAAAGGGACACACTGGGGTCCCTTTTACACAAGCGTGGAAATGAAACTTTATAGGAAATAATACGTTTATAAAATGTATAGTCTCCTTGAAGCCCATAAATCACATGTTCATGGAAAATAATACTCTTGGGTATGGTAAATATAAGGGTCATTTAAAAATTATTGAGTTTCATATTTTTGGTGGATGTCTCATGAAAAAGGTTTATATATTTAGCCTGTGGCAAAGTCTCTGGTAACCTTGGAGGAAAATAAAGACATGTGGCTATACAATTTGCTCAACTGTATAATCTTTACACAAAAAAGGTCACACTGCAATCAAAGGCATTCTGCCTGCCTGAGGTCTGAAGTATCAAATCTCAAGAGCTAAAATAGAAATTACAGAAACAACTCCTAATGGTCAACTCTTAAGAAAGGCCCTTATTCAGAAAGTTATTTATTAAATTCAGTCTGAAAGAAAGGCAGCCACTGAACTTGGTCTTCCATAAAATGTCAAATTCTTCCAATTAGCTTCAGTGTTTTATGAAGGCATTCTGTTACATTACTCCTTGATGTTTATTCGATACAGATGTTAAGAGGGAAGGAGATTTTCCTCAAGGATCCATTCTTTAAGGAAATTATTTTCAGGAATAAAATTAATGTAGGTATTTGATGAGTTTATTGGTAGCCACAAGGAGAGATGCTCAGTCAGGTATTTTAAGTTCTCCTTATCAGTCCCCATCACTAGCCTGCCTCTTGGGGCACTCTTTTATGCAGAGCAGTTTGGGTCTGGGTCTCTTTACAGAAGGCTAATGTCTCTCTTCCCCATGTTTAACATGCACAGAAAATGTGTTTTCAAAAAAAAACCCCACACAATTAGTTTACAAGGCTGTTAGAATATATCTTTCTCTAAGAAGGAATTGGATCCAAATATGAATGAGAAAGAAACCTACTAATACAAAGAGAGGTGAATATTCCAACTCAGCACGTGGAACCAAATCTTAAAGAGAATAAAGAAGTGAATAAGGCCTAGCAGGACTAGATTAGCATATTTTCTTCAATAACTATATTAACATATTTTATTATTTTTCCTTCTTTCTAACATTATATAAATGGATTCCTTTAAATCTCAATAGGGAAGAGGCACAGACTATAAAAACAACTTGAATAATGAGCATAAGGTTTTTCAAAACCATGTAATGAAGGCACATAATAATGTCAAGATTCCAATAAAATACATATATGCTTATAAGTAAAACTTCAGAGAAAATGTGTGACTACAATTGGGACTAATACACTCAGATTTGGTTAGCATCTAATTAGTATATAAGAAGCTCAAGAACAGTGCCGCCATACTTTGGAGCTAAGACTACCACTGGAAGTAATCCACTAGTAAAATCAAAGCAAAATAGGTAAGATTTGCTTGTCAAATGAAAGTAGGAGGGACCAAACAATCTATTAAATCTTGCAACGTGGAAAAGATATATTCATGTTATAGACGTCTATAAAAATGAATGCATCAACTGACAGTGTACAGGAAGTCCAAAGGACCCAAATTGTTCCAGAGTATTTCTAGCACTTTTTAAGGAAGAAGATGCCTTACTGGATGCCTTGTTGGCTACAGTTCAGTGACACTAGTTATCTAGATCATAGGGTCAACTCTTCTTTATTATTATCTGCTCAAAATTTTCCATTTATAATTTGACTATCCATAGAGATTTTCCCCCAAAGTGAAGGAATGTGATGATCATCTTGACATAAGGAAGTGGCTCTATACTCTAACGCTGCCTTAGGCAATAGAGATTTGGGTCAGGTATCTGGCTCTGCCCCTTACTGCTGTTACCTGCAGCATTCACACACATGCCTGATCAAGAGGGTTCACTTGAAGTTTCTGGCTCTGAAAGGTTAAGGTCAAGATGAGGTATAAATTCTGTCCTAGGAAATCCTGCCTAAGTGGCCAGCTTTTCCCTCTCTCTCTATTTTGATACAGAAGACCTTTCAGGATCACAACAGGGTCTCAGTTTGCTTTGAGATACATTACGTGTGATTAAAGAAACTGCTATAAAACAGAAGCTGTAGGGATTGGAACTGAATCAGCACTGACTCCATGACAAAACTGAGAAGTTTATTTTAAAAAACTAAACTCTAAAACGTATTTATTTACTGTTCTTCTAGCAAGAGAAGGCAGAAAAGGCAATCAATCAATCAAATATTCAGTTACTTGTAATACATAAACATTTATTTCATTCTGATATCTTAACTAACAACTTTCTAATAACCATAACCAGGTCAGCTGGGGTCCTTTTATTTTTAGCTCAGTAACTTGTAAGGATCATTAAAAGGTATATGGCAAAATGCTTGTTTGAGGCCCTATTTCTGCTACACCCAATTTTAAGCCAAGAGAAAATAAGATTAAAAATGGGATAAAAACTCAAGCAAGGGAAAAAAAGGATTCTGAATTTCCTATCAACTTTGGTATACTTTTATGACTAGAAAACTTTTCTGAACATAGGCATAAATATTTAGTATACTTAAGCACATTATTTAATTCTTTCAAGAACTGATTTCTAAAAATAAAAATTGAGAAGCATTTGACAGCTTTTCAATTTATTTTAGGTTTTAAATTGAGATAAACCATCAGACACATGACTAAGACAGCAATTTTGGTAATTTCTGGATGATGCAGACACCTGTGTATTTGGGGCTGCAAAGGAATTTTTATTAGGATGATAGAAAACGGAATTGAAATCAGTTGCTGAATTCCAACCAATTCAAATGAATTATTTGACCTACAAGCTATGTTATCCTAAATTTCTCAACGCAGCTGCCAGAAATCTATTTTCCAAACGGAACAACAGATGGTTTTGAACAATACTGCAATATAGCAATTCTCAGTTTTTCCAAAGTGTTTTTCTCTGGCTAAAATTATTAACATAATTGAGAAAATAATTTTCAAATTTTTCTGAAAGACTATGCTATTTTCAAAGTAAAAAGCAAAGTTTAATATCCTAATGGATTTTTTTAAGCATTATCTTTAGAAATGACTCTATTTGCTAGTTTTTATTTATCTAAAACAACGAAGTGTACCCTTGCCCTCATTTTAGAGCTAACTTAATAATCCCACAAAGCCTGCAAGCACTTCAAAATGTATCTCTCCATGCGATCATTTCCAGCTCACAGTATGCAGTTAGTTCAAAACTTTATCACTCTACGAGGATTACACAAACGGGCAATTAAGTCTGATGTGAGAGATACTTTAAACCTCTAAACCTTTGTAAATAATTGAAAAACGTCTCATTCCTTCAAACATCACCGTGAGCAAAAGAAATACAGCCAATTCGAATGAGGCTAACCCCTAGAGAAGCTTAATCTTTCAGATGAAATCATCTCAAGTTCCTTCAACTGTTCTTGGCAGATGACTCAGCTTCCTACTCGGTGATTTAAATAACATCTACAAGTCCTGATTCTCTTTCCTTCTTTCCTAGCGCATTCTCTCCAGTGCTGTGCAATGACGTGTGGGCTTTGGGTCTGGACTGCCTGGATTTAGTCCTGGCACCATCACTCACGATCTGGGAGATCCTGAGGAGGGCAATCTAAACCCTCTCAACTTCAAATTCCATTTTCAAAATGCTAAAACTGACCTTATAGTATGGCTGTGGATTTAATACACTTAAGTTAACACACACAAAGAACTTCAAACATGCCAGGTATATAGTAAGTATATAGTAAGTGCTCAATTAAGTGTAGCTATTATTATTTATTATTTACTATTACTACTATTATTATTATTATCCCTTTTCTCTTTAATATCTAGGCCACTTCAAGGTCCAGACCTCTTTCAATTTCTTGAAAGAAATTGACTAAATTTCTTAGTCTCACACTCACCCTGGACCTTACGCCTTTGTCCAAGAACATGCTGGCTTTCCTGCTTGTGAGCAAACCCTCTCACAAACACAAAACAAAACAAGTAAAAAACTTCACATGATGCAGCCAACACCTGTCTTGGCTATTTCACTCTCTTTCATACAAACCATATTTTTAAAAATAGTCTGTATTCATTTCCTCCATTTTCTCACCATTTACTCATACCCTTTGCAGTTTCACTCCTGAAGTTGCCTTCTAAACAATCACCTAATCACTGAATCCAGCAGCCTTCTCAGTCCTATTTCTCAACCTTCCTATAACAAATGATGGGATCTCCTTTCTTGTAAAAACTGTTCTACTAGCCTTCTGTGCCACTGCCTAGCCTAAACCTTCCTCCCAGTTTAACTCCCACTTCGCTGCTTTAGCTGGTTTCTTTTCCTACACCTTCCATCTAAACCTATACCCACAAGAGTTCTGCCTGCAGCCTTGCACATCTTTCTGCACTCTCCCCAACTTGCTCCATTCCCAGTCTTTCACTACCACGGGACTCCCCCAGATCCCATGATTTAACTTCCAAATCACCGCCTCTAGTTCTGCCCACCAGCCCCTCCCCACTCTAGACCTGCCCTTCCTGGTTGTTGAAGATGTCTATTTGGTTGTTCACTTACCTCAAACTTACCATGTTCTAAATCAAATCTATCTGTTTTCTTTCTTAATATTTCCACTTTTGTTAATGAATGGGATGATCACTCTCTGAATTACCAAGGTCAGGACATCTGAATCATCTTTAGCCTTCTCTCTCCCTAACAGCCCATCACAGATAAGACAGTGATTATATGCATGCATTCTGGAGAGAGACAGTGTGAGTTTGTATCCTGACTCTCCACTTCCTGCCACTGCGACTGTGAGCACGTCCCTTGCTTCATAGCACAGCTGTCCTGTTTACATGAGAAAATGTATGTAAGGGCATGGAGGGTGAACATTTGGCAAGCCATGATGATGACGACAAAGAAAAAGAATCTCAATGATCTCAGTGACCCTTCTCATTCCTTACGTGACTCTCATCAAATCTCATATAGACTTTATGTTGTCTCAAGTAAATTTAAACTCAGAGGGTCAGTCTTGGTTGTCAATGTGTAAGTGGCTCGAATTTTCATTAATCTCATCCAAGGCAGTCTCAATCAAGACCTAGAACACGTGATATTCCACTTACATATCAATGTGGTTTTCTCTCATAGTATCCTAAATAAGAATGTAGTGAGAATTCAGCAACTGACCTTATTTGAACCCAATTTCAAATAACATTCTGTAAGCCATATGATCAGAAATTAAAGTCTCTCAATTCTTAATAACACAGAGTACATTATCAGTTACAAGCTATAAAATCTTTGCTGTTATTACTCTAACCAACCAACCACCTTGCAGTCACCTGTCCACACTTCCCCATGAAGTGAAAACTAAATTTAATTTTGGCTTAAGAAAGATGTAAAGATTATAACAATTATTGGAAAAATATCAGAATCATATAATGTATTACAAAATCAATATGATGCTATCCTTTGCTCTGTGTTATTAGTGAGTTTCTAGCCCTGCAAGAAAGTAGATTTGATTAGATATTTTTATAAATGTCCATATAAATATGTACCACATTTAATTAAATGTCTAGGGGACCATTACCAGTAGAAGCAGTTGTCCTGAGAGAAGCATATTTATGTATTAATTAGATGCCTCTAGTTAGTCATTTCTACAAAGAAAGAGGAAGAGGATTACCGCTAAGTATTGGAGCTCTCGTGTTTCTTCCTCTGCAGCTGAAGCATGATATGACAGAACCTACAGGGCGAGAAAAGAAGGAATGCAGGTTATACAAAAGAGGACTACCAAACACAGACCACAATTTCAAGCCTGAGATTCTGCTAAAACTTCCTGCAGAGACAGCTAGACTCTTCAGAACATCATATCTTGTTTGCTGCTTTCTTCAACAGAGAGAAAATCCCAGACTTTGATTCAAATGCTTATTACGGAAACAGAAAGTTATACTCCCTATGTTCAAAGAAAACTGTCACTTTTCCTCTGACATTGTTGATATAACAAACACATTATTTATAAGACATTAGGTCAAACTTGGCAGAAAATTTTGGGTCACTTTCTTTTAAAAAAAACTGACTTCAGTTATTTTTACTTGTGTACAGAATCAAGATAAAAGACCTCTGCATAAACTGACATTTTAACGTTGATATTTGGAAAGAAAGTAGCCTAGAAGTGGCTCTCAGATGAAGTATGTAACCACTGCAGAATTCATAAGGAAAAACTGCACAGCGGAGATATAATGTCACACAGACTCAAGGATCCTTTTACACTCATATGATTCAAGAACTGAGAAGAGTAGGGCTGGTCTATAAATCTATCCATTAACAGCTGAGGACACCTAGGCTCAGGAATCCTCATGACTTGGCTGTGAGCTCACACCCAGTGAGAAGACAAGAGGGCCTAGAACCCAGCTTTCAACTCCCAATCTAGTACACTTCCCATCACCCTAGTGAGTTAAGTTGTAAGAAGATGGTAAGGCAGGTTTACTGTCTTCTTATAACTTAACATGAGAATCATTCATTCCCATTTTCAAAAGTGATAACTTTTAAGTAATGGAATAATATTTTAGACATTCTTTTAAACCAAGGTAGTGATTGCATTTTAAACTATCATATTTTAAAAACACATTTTTAAAACTTCATTTTTGACAGAGTCAACACAGATTTACTAAAATCCCTCAAAGTTTTAAAATCAGTGATAAAAAGGTATCCCATGTTCAGACTTTAAATGGTGAGCCAAGTAATTCAGCAACCCAAACTAGTTTCCCTTGAACTAGTTTTTAAAATTTTAAGCAATTCAAAATCTAAAGCCAAATGGTACACACATCTACTATCTTGTGATTCAGAATGCTATAATACTGTGATACGCCTGATTTGTCTTAGTGTTTGAACCATTAATCACTAGGAAACCTCAGGAACCTTGGAGTTGCTGTCTCCTGCTCCTGTGAAATGGACAGGTCATGGCTAAACTGCTGCTGACAGCACAGAGGTGGTTTGTTGAGAAAGGCTAAGGCTATGACCATGAATTCATCTAATATAAATCAGTGCAATGCAACATGGATAAGTGAAGAAAGGAATAACATGACATTCTAAGTTAAAAAAATTAATTTCGTCACACACTGAAGATAAAAATAGCACCTTACTCGTAGGGTTGTATGGATTAATTTTGTTAACACAAGTGAGAACACAGAGTAAGCATTTGATAAAGGTTAGCTATTATTGTTGTTGTTTTACTGTCATTATAATGATGTTTTCCAGGTCAAAATAATTCCCTGTCATAAGAAAACATGAGGGGTTCATGTCCTTAGCTTTTATCCAATACATCAGAAGAAAAAATTTTTTCAAGGTTAAACCTGTGATTGTACATATGCCTTCCTATAATGAATTGAAATTGAAATGTATATGTTAAGTGAAAGCCTAATGACTCATATTTAACTGAAGTAAAACCATAGTGTAAAAATAGAAATAAATCTCAATCAGGAAAATATTCAGAGATTTTGAATAAAATGATATGTGGGATTTGCTTCAAAATAATCAATGGATTAATAGGGAAGAAGAGTGCAGAGAAGTGAGCAAGGGTATGGACGGAATAATAGTAACCACAGGTCAGTAATTACTGAAGACAGCTAATGAACACATGGGGGCTCCTTAAGCTATTCTCTCTACTTTAGCATTATGTTTGAAATTTCCCAAATAGGAAGTTTTTTAAAAAAGAGATAACTTCTAATTGATAGCTGGCTTAGATTCAATTCTTCAGTGCAAAGCCATGGAAACAGTAAAAAAAAATTTGCTTAAAAATTGTATATACACATGCACACACACGTACATATATGTACATGTGTGCATATATGTAATTTGAAATATATGTATATTTGTTTGTATATATACACACACATACATATGTGGGTGTGTATTTGAAACAGATTTCTACCGGTTTCTAAGCCAAGGTCTCTTACGTAACACTATAGCAAAACTATTAGTGTTATATATTCACATTAGAAAGTAAAGCATACCATCTTGGTTATTGGTAAATCTTGACTTATATAGCCTTCTAGCTCTTTAGGTTAGGTATCTGTTTATTAGGGGTTGGAGGAAAAGTTAATGATCCATATCCCAAACATTGATTTCCACTGATCTCTACTAGCTAAGAGTAGGCAAACATTAAAGTATATTTCACACCAGTGTATGAAGGACTAAGTAATGCCCTTTATGAAGTCTATTTCCCTAAGTTGGTCTATGATGTAAGAAATTTCCATGTTACACGAAGTGAACATCTTCAGGCAGTTAGTGAAGTACATCTGGAAAGGGCTGGCCCACTTGGGTAGGCTTGTCCTGCTTGGGAGGGAGTCTGCCTGAGGTCAGTGCCCCAAGCCAGTGGTTCACATTCACAGTCACCTGGGGGAGCTCTGTAATAATGCAGATTCCCAGCCTCTACCCAAGACTTATTGAATCAGAATTTTCAGAAGTGGGATCCACAAATCTGTAATTTGAAAGACTTTCACTTTTCCTCATTTCTGATTCTGAGTGCTTAGGATTTCTGTTTCTGTTTTTTAAAATGTGTGAATACAACTGCTCACAAGGAGAGATGGGGAGGCTCAGGCAATGGGGAAGGGACAGATGGGGTGCAGTGGCAGTAGACGTCTGTGTGAATGGATTATTAAGGTCAAGGACTGCTTCTGGCCGAAAAAGCAGAGGAATGAAGGGACCAACGGCTGGAGCTTTGGTTTGGTCATAAGGCCCCTGACAAGTTTCTAAAATATTCTGGGTCTCAGTTACCTCAGCTGTTTAAATGAGAGAAGGATCTGATCATCTAAAGCACATGACTGTCGTAAGGATACAGTGATATAACAGACACCAAAAGCTGTTACAGGGAGAGGTGTAAGTTGAGAGTTTGGCCATAGAGACTGAGAAGTCCTGTAAGTGTCAGCCCACCTCTAATGTGACCATCTGCTTGGCCATAGCTCTCTCCACTGCTTCGTACATCTGTGTGTTCTGGATCCCCAAGCCACAAAAGATGACAAAAGCTTCCAGAAACTGTTCATCATTTCGGTTGAAAGGCTTAATTTTGCCAGTGGTCTCCTCCATCTTATTAACAAGTTGGCAAACCCCTGTAAGAACCCAAGAAATCAAGCAAATGTTACTATTCATCATCACAGCTCTCACTGACTTTAAGACCCCCCCCCACAAGACTGTCTCACACTTTTCTCTTAGGAATGCTTGGTATCTCCAAATAAGTAAACGAATCCTCACAAATATAAGCTAGAAAAGTCATCTGAATCAATTTACATGAGAACTTGTTTCACATAGCCCTAAATGTATGTTGTCTGTGTTCAAAAAATCCTAGAGTACTATTTTCTTCCAGACTCGGTCGCGAATTTCAGATCAGCTGAGTCCCCAAAGACAATTTGTCCTTTGGAAACTAATTGGATTTTTGTACATTTGCCAAGAGAGCAATTTTGATGCACATCAGAATTTTGGGTCACACAGACTGCCTTTCCTTACTGAGAAACCAGAAGTTAAATAACACAATTACATACAAAATAGAATGGATGAAACAGACAATTTACATAGACAGTCTAAAGTTTCAAATATGCACCTCTGCATCCAGGAGAATCATATTTCCAATCATTTTTGATACTACAGATAAATGCACATAGAAATGTTTGTTTAGTTAGAAATAAAAGCAGAACTAATCTTTGGAGACAATCGTAACCTAACCTCCCAAATCCTGGCCTTTCTTAGAAAGTCAAACACGTAGTTGATATGAATGGAAGATTACATCAAATCTTTATTGAACTAGTTGTTCTATGGGACTCTGAGGCTAGTGGTCTCTGTGAGGAGTTTGATGACCTTCTACCTCTGGGTAACACACTGTTGTTAAAGTCCTCATCTCTTCTGTCTCTGCATATGTAATATAGACTTCCATCATGTGCATGTAGGTACAGTGCTTTAATACACACATGAACTCTAGTCTGCACAGTTTATACTGTGAGAAAGGTGTGCCCATGCCCATTTTACAGATGAAGAAACTGAGTCTCAGGAAGGTTAAGTCATATGCTCCAGGTCACTTAGCTAGTATGCTTATGTCTAAAATTGAAACCCCAGCTCAGCCTAGCCCCAAAGGCTAGTTTATTACCACATTGCTGCTCTGTGCCTTTTCACCCCCGTCAGATCATTGCTAGCAGTTCCCTGACTGCATTTTGCTTGCCCACACCTTTGCCTATGCTTTTCCGCTGGCCTATACTGCTCCCCACTGCTCTCTTTCCTGTTGTCCAATAGATCCCTACACAGCTCTCTTTCCTGTTGTCCAATAGAGCCCTTCACAGCGAGCTCCCACAGGCCTCCCACTTCCCGGGTGAGGCAGGCACTTCTCCTTTCTATCTCCTTAACTTTATCATTTGGAGTATCATGGGGGATTTTATTTCTGTCTTTCTTTCTGGACGTACATATCTTGGGCTTAGAGATTTTATTTTTTCAGTTCTACTTCCTCAGCCAGCAATGCCTGGCATATAGCAGGACTCAAAAAATGTTTACTGAGTTAATGAAAGAATGAAGGATTGCGGCTCTGACCCAGACCACTTTCCCATGAAGTCTATATTCTGTTATATCTTATTTTTCCTGGAGCACAAAAGGATTTTATAGCGTCCGTGATGATGCATGGTTGCACATGAAATCCCTTTATTACCACTGGTGTGCACTTTATCTTTAACCCTACAAATTATCTGTTTTCTCATGTTGCTCTTTTTTGTTTGTGGGAGTTTTTCTACTTTAGACAGTAAAGGCATCCTTATCTATCTGTATTAGTACGGCAGAGATTACTTCTCTAACACATTCCATTATCAAGAAAAATTTTAAACAAGACATAATGAATCTGGACACTGCAAGTAAAAACTGTGAGTAAATATGGCAACCGGTATTCATTATCTTAAAAGACCATGTCCCATGTACGGTAAAAAAGCCTGGGTTATATCCTCCAACCTTTGTGAATCCCCAAATTATAAATATGGAACTGTTTATATAGGCTTCTGGCTATCTCCCAAATCACATTTTCTTGAGGGTCACGCATTCTGTGCCTTATCCTCACATCACAATGTGACTGCCTTTCAATTTTTACTAAAGTTTTCTCCTAGTTGATGGCCATTTTTCATAACCGAGATTTTTCTTTTTGTCACTGCATAAGATTGATTGCATGTATGGGAAGGAAAAGACAACCCGGAGGGGTTGAGACGTGGCCATCAGGCAGTCTGCTGGGCCTGGGACCGAGGTAAGGAACTCTTTCCTGGACAGTGGTTCAAATCTGGGCCTCAGCCAACAGTCATTGAATGAATATATTAAGCGGTATTAACTAATACCTCAGGAATTGAAAGGTACTAAAATGGCATGTTAAGTGTACAAGTAGGAAGAGTTGGCTGTAACAACCACAGCTCAGGGCAGAACAGCTAAAGTGTGTCTGTGTCACAATCCACCTCTATAGATACAGACACGCAGACACAGAGTTACGCTCAGGGCAAGAAAATGGGTAAAGACAAATTATCCCTTTAGGAACATAATTTAATCCTTCTTTGAAAGCAGTCACATTTATACAGCATTCAAGACAATCCTGTTGATCTCTTTACACCCTTCATAAAATTTAATTCTATCAAACAAAAATACCCAAGTCGGAAAAAAAAAAAAAGCTATGAAGAAGAAAAGGTTCATAACAAACAAATAGGGTTCTTTGAGAAAATGTAAAGCTTGGGCCCATTTACAGATGGTTTTCACAACTTATTCATTAAAGATCTGGAAGAGTGGATGAAGAGTACAATAATGAAATTTAAAACTGGTCATTTGAAATGCCACATCTACTAGTAAGCCATATAAAATCAGAATCACTTATATATAAAAACAAAGTAGTTATTGCAGAACCAAAAATAAAACAAAATCACTCAACGAAAACCAATAACTGTATACAAAAATAAAATAAAACATTCAAAAATATATTAGGAGAAAACCAAGAAGAAGTACAGTTAGATAGCAAACTATCAGTGTTAATATTAGAGTTCACAAAGTACTTGTCTAGACATTATTTCACACGGTCATCACAGCAGCTCTGAGAGCTAGTTGGCACTGAAGGCATCTCTGGAAATTATGCTGAAGGGACTAGACAGTTTCTAAACACACACTTATGTTTCCTTTTCTATAATTCCAGGGATCGGATGTTGTTACCAACCACAGTTTTCCTTTTGGCCTCTTGGCAGAGCAGGGTGTCAATTCTTATATCCTGCTTGTGGTCTCCTGTCCTCTCTCCTGCACAACATGGGCTCCAAAATTAGCATCCTGTCTTGTTAATGTGTAAGACTTACCCTTCTACCCTTGTCACCTACCTTGCAAATAATTTTTTCGCACTTGTTATTTGTCAATTATCTTAATTTAGGGAGTTTTTTGGTTGTAGAAAAGATTTCATTTCTCAAGTAACTAAAACAGTTATCTTTTAAGTTTTCAACTATAGTGTCTTGCTTTTAAAAGAAGCTTCCCCATTTTAAAATTACATACAAGCCTATATTTTCCTCTGGCACTTTTACAGATTCATTCTATCACATTTAATCTTTTAATTTTTTCCCTAAATTGCTACTGGATTCTTGCAAAACATAAATAGTTATCCATTCTTTAGTAATTTGAATTGTCACCTTAAATAATAAATTCATACTTATTTCAACTATGTACTTTTTTCACATTTAAATGTTATGAAATCAGTATGCATCCTAATCAATTGCTTGTCATTATGTAATTGAAATCATTTTTCTCTTTCTTAAAGATATATAAAATGGTGTCTTTCAACCAATGGCACCTTAGAAACAATGAAATATACTCTGTTATGCACAATAACACAACTGTCATATCAGACTTGAGTCTGCATTTAGACTTTCTACTGTGTTCCATCAATCTTGCCATCTCTTCTAGCACACATATAATACTTTTAATAATGTTACTTATACAGCATTATTTTAATTTCTGACAAGGCAATTCTCTATCCATCAACTCTGATTATTTGATTATTTTTATGCTATTCTTCCAGATGAATTTTATATATGTTGGTCAAGAACTCCTCTACCCCCTGAAAAAAATATCTTATGAGGACATGTATTAAAATTGATAGAAATCTGATCTGCAAAAAGTTAACATCTTAAATAATAGATTCTTATTGTCAGGAAGTGTTATATCAGTTCACTTACTTAAAGATAACTTAAAGACTTTCAAGTTATCTAGTAGACTTTTATAGTTTTCCTCATACAGATGTTCCTATTTCTGACCAAGTTTATTCCTTGTTACTATTGTAAACAGGATGATTTTTCCATTATTATTTTCTAACAAATTTGTCTTGGCTTGTAAAAAGTTATTTTCTTTTAATAATTTGATAGCCAGGAACTTCCACAAGTCTCTTTTTAGATAGGTACTTTCAGCTGATTCTTTTAGGTTTTTTCATTCAACAATCATATCATTTTGTAAGTTATTTTGCCTTTGCGTTTTCCATGCCTCACCTTATTTCATCCTTTCCTGTCCTCTGATTGCTTTGGTAACAATTTACTTTGGGCAAGAGTTGTTTTGTTTTGTTTTGTTAGTGACTTTAAAAATATAACTTTCTCAACTACTTCCATGAAAAAAAAATTAACATCTTTATTGGAGTATAATTGCTTTACAATGTTGTGTTAGTTTCTGCTGTATAACAAAGTGAATCAGCTATATGTATACATATATCCCCATATCCCCTCCCTCTTGCGTCTCCCTCCCACGCTCCCTATCCCACCCCTCTAGGTGGTCACAAAGCACCGAGCTGACCTCCCTGTGCTATGTGGCTGCTTCCTACTAGCCATCTATTTTATATTTGGTAGTGTATATGTCAATGCTACTCTCTCACTTCGTCCCAGCTTACACTTCCCCCCTCCCCATGTCCTCAAGTCCATTCTCTACGTCTGCATCTTTATTCCTGTCCTGCCCCTAAGTTCGTCAGAACCATTTTTTTTTTTAGATTCCATATATATGTGTTAGCATACGGTATTCGTTTTTCTCTTTCTGACTTACTTCACTCTGTATGACAGATTCTAGGTCCATCCACCTCACTTTGTTTCTTTTTATGGCTGAGTAATATTCCATTGTATATATGTGCCACATCTTCTTTATCCATTCATCTGTTGATGGATACTTAGGTTGTTTCCATGACCTGGCTATTGTAACTATTGCTGCAATGAACATTGGGGTGCATGTGTCTTTTTGAATTATGGTTTTCTCTGGGTATATGCCCAGGAGTGGGATTGCTGGGTCATACGGTAGTTCTATTTTTCGGTTTTTAAGGAACCTCCATACCGTTCTCCATAGTGGCTGTATCGATTTACATTCCCACCAACAGTGCAAGAGGGTTCCCTTTTCCCCACACCCTCTTCTATGAAAAATTTTAAACTCTCCTTCTGTTAGTATTGGTTATTACCAATTTTTATAGAATTTCTCCATTTCATCAAAACATATTATTTTTTTGGTACATTGTATTATCTAACATCTTTTAAAGTTTCTTCTGTATCTGTAATTACATTTCCTTTCTCATTCCTATTTGTGTTTCTTTTATTTCCCTCATTATCTGTGTTTATTATTATTGTGTTTGCCCATTATCTCGTTTTACTATCCCCTCTCATTTCATAAATTTATCTTTTCAATTTCTTTGCTCACTTTCTTCCTATTTATTTGTTTACTTTGGGGGCAGCACAGAGGGTGAGAAAGAGAAAGGTGCTGTCTTTCTAATTTCTTCAGTTGAACACTTAGTTCAAATAACTTCATTATGTCCTAATTAATAATGGCAAAATATTTAAAGCTATATAACTCCTATATATATAGCTTTGACCTTGTACCTTGAGTTTTTATGTTAAATTGATACAACCACTAATTTTCTAAAATGCTATACTTTCATTTTGACTTTTGATTTCTTCTTTGTCATTTGGAAGAATGTTTTTCAGTTTCTAAGTGAGCTTTTTCCTTCCAATTTATCCTTTTATTACACATTTCTAGTTTTAATGCAATGTGATCCATGACAGTGGTTGTCAATTCTACTTTTCAGAAATGACTAAGTTTGTGTTGCATGTGTGTGTATCGCTAATATTTGTAAATTTCTGATGAATATTTGATAGGAATTTGTGTTTTTAAATTATGAAATATAAAAGTAAATATTTATATGCCAATTAAATCCATTTCATTTTCTGTATTAATCAATTCTAATGTTTCCTTATATTTTCCTGTACTTTAACATTCTATGAAAAGGGTACTAAAGACTCTCACTATGATCACCATTTTGTCCATTTCTCCTTGTATTTTTAATAGCTTTGGGTTTTGTATGTCAATGATGTTACTTACTTTATAGAAGCATTTATGACAATTACACTTTCCTCTGTGAATTTAACTTAATCAATGCAAAGTGATTCTGTATATTATATGTTTTTACCTTAAAATTTACACTGTCTGATACTGATATCTCTACTCAAATTTTTCCCATTCTGTGTAAAATGTATTCTTACAAATAGTATATTCTTCCTATCTTCTAGAAATTCCTCAATGTTTCTGGTCCAATAAAGGTAAGCGTCTCTGTTTTCCAGGGCTACTATGAGGTTTCTCTTATTTTTCTATTTCTTCAATCAATTCTTGAAACTATAATCCTTATATTTATTTTTATTTTATAGATTTTCACTTTTATAATTTTGAGCTATAATCTCCTAGTTTTATTTTTTTCTCATTTTCTTCCCATTATTACTGCCCCTACAGCCTTATTTCCTGGCACTTCTTATCACTAATCATAATTAACAATTCTTTAATTGGGAAAAACTGTATACTTTAAGCAATATAAGCAGTATGTACCATGGACGACACTGCACAGTGTAATATTTGCATTAGGAAAATCCCAGCAAATATTTTTAAAAACAAATGAATAGTTAGTGATATTGCCAAATGATATAATTTAATATGAAAAATAAAATTAAGAAGTCAAATTTAAACTTACATAATTTTACAATATTTACTTATGCCTTGGGATCATATTGCAACACATAGATGAGCAGAGCATTAGGACGGAAATCAGTTGAGAAAATATATTCAGTACGAAATACATATTCCCCTCTCATACTTCACTGTCAAACAACGTGTGGTATAACACTATGATTTTTATTACTTTTTCACTAAAAAAAAAAAAAAGATGAAAATGTAAGCTACTTAAAGTGGAGATGTTCTCAACAATATTTTTTGGATGGGAATGGAACTAATTTCTTCAAAATATGCCCTGAAATTGACATGGAAAATTTAGTCTAATAAATAGGGGATATAATTGGTTAAAATAAGTGAATTTGAATGAGGAAGTATCTTCTTAACAGTGTTGAAAACAAAGTGGTGGAAACACTCTGTTAGCCAGAGCACTGAGAAAACATTTGATATGAAAAAATACCTCAGGGAATACATGTGGTGATACAACAGGCCCCATACTGGTCTAACGTCTATAATTTCATCTAATTGTCAGTAATGGGAAAAAAAAGGAAGGGAAAGAAGATTACCAAAAACACATGGGCCCGTCTGTCTTTCTGCATGGAAACTCTGTGGGGATTCTGTATTAGAATTACATGCTAGCAGAATCTGGTCTGTGTGACATGTAAGAAAAATGATCTATGGCCTTGATATTTTCCATGCTGCATCTGTGAGTACAAAGTATAGTTGAGAATTCAAATTCTCTGTTTTGTCACACTTATAAAGACAGCAAGGAACACTGGAAATATTCCCTCTTGAAATTAACCTGAAAATGCCCCCCCAGAAACCCCACCAGGGAAATCATTTTTTCTTTCTTTCTTTTTATTGGCAGGGAATTTTTCCTTTCCAAAGACAACATTTACTTACTTTTGACTCTGTTATCAAGCAGGGTGACACAAAATGTATGCCAAGAGAAGTCTGATTATTTCAACTGGTATTTTTTTCTTTGTTCACTTGTCTGAAACAGTGACAGGAACACAGAATGTGGATTCTGAAGGGATCTGAAAGGTTAGTTAGTTGAATAATGTGGCCATAACCTTTTTATTTTTTAAAATAAATTTATTTATTTATTTATGGCTGCGTTGGCTCTTGCTGCGCACGGGCTTTCTCTAACTGCGGCAAGCGGGGGCTACTCTCCCTTGAGGTACGCAGGCTTCTCACTGTGGTGGCTTCTCGTGTTGTGGAGCATGGGCCCTAGGCGTGTGGGCTTCAGTAGTTGTGGCACAGGGGCTCAGCAGTTGTGGCTCGCGGGGTCTAGAGTGCAGGCTCAGTAGCTCTGCAGCATGTGGGATCTTCCCGAACCAGGGCTCGAAGCCCATAACCTTTTTTTTTTTTTTTTGTGGTACGCGGGCCTCTCACTGTTGTGGCCTCTCCCGTTGCGGAGCACAGGCTCCAGACGCGCAGGCCCAGCGGCCATGGCTCACGGGCCCAGCCACTCTGCGGCACGTGGGATCCCCCCGGACCGGGGCACGAACCCGCATCCCCCACACTGGCAGGCGGACTCTCAACCACTGCGCCACCAGGGAAGCCCCAATAACCTTTTAAATGCTTAAAGTGAGAGTGGAGCCAGCCGGATGTTGTGAGCCCTATTCCCATCCAGGGACCTTTGCACTCCCCCCAAATCCTCTTACTTATCACATGTGTAAAATGATGAAAAAGCCTGATGTATAACTTCCTTCGGCCACTCCCCATTCCCAGTTATTCCAAAGAGATGCTGCTGAGAAAAAGCGATGATGTGCCTTGATGTGGCAAGTTGCCACTCTGTCCTCCTTCTTATCAGAACTTATTAGTAAATGATGCATCGCTTCTGGAATCCATTTCACATTTTCAAAGGTCAAAGGCAGCTTGTGGTAAGCTCTATATTTATATCAAAAAGCATTTTAAAGAAGTATAACATGGGAGATTGGGATTGACATAAATACACTAATATGTATAAAATAGATAACTAGTAAGAACCTGCTGTAAAAAAATAAAATAAAATTAAAAAAAAATGTTAAAAAAGGAAGCATAACATATATAATGTAGTTTTCACCTACCTAACTCCTAGAATATAAAATTTTATATCCTAAACATTTATGTAGTTTCATATTGTAGGGCACCCTTGTCAGTTTTCTTCTGTTGTTTATGTTAGAGATCTGATCGGTGATAATCTTGAAAAGAGAGCTGACATATGGATTCACTAAGCTCTACTTTTTTCTCTGAGAGCTGAGAAGCGTGCAGGTGATGAACAGCCTTCAGGGAATCGCCAGGCTGGCTTCCAAGAGGCTTTATGAGGCAATGCACTGGAGTCAGCAAGCCCAGCGCTGTAGGGTTACAAACTAGCTTACCATGCTGAGGACAGATCCCACTCTCTGGGGTAGAGAACAGTACCTAAGTTCACAAGACTGATTTATAAAACCAGAATAGTATCAATGTCCAACAAGAAATAGATCTGTCCCAGGAACCCGAGTACACGCACCTGCAACTCAGCCCATTGCCTCAAGCCCAGTTCACCGATTTACAATAAGAAACAACTGGCAAAGCGAGCAATGTATTCGAGAGGATATGAAGAATGCATTCTCTTCCTATGAGTTAACATATCTTGGAAAGAAAATAATCAGAACAAGGGAAGTCAGACTGGTGGGTTATTTAATGGCATAAGCCCATGTATCCATCTCACAGTGAGGACGCATGCCAGCAGACGGACTGGAATCACCGAGCAGTACCAGCTACAACCTGCTGCATCCATCGCCACGCAAGTGCTGGCCTTGCCAAGTGGTCAGCATACCCTGTACACTGCTACAACCTTCTTCATCCATCTCCATGTGAGAGGCAAAGGTCCCCTGACTACTGCACACAACTGGAGAGGCACTTTCAATATTTGTCCTTTTTTCCTCCCATTTTCATGAACGATTCCCCCCCACCCCCGCACCTTTCTGACCAACACTCTTCTTTAATAAAACTACAGTCAAATCTTACAACCTGGAAACTCATCAGAATTTTTAAGGTAAATTTATATAGCTAAGCCTTGCTCCGTTAGGGTTTTTATTTAAAAGTTTAGCCTCTGTTCCAAGTTCTTGGGAGAATATTTAACAGTTCAGACTGTTTTCACAGTGTCAATCATGCACGATTGGCATATAAAACCTCACATTTTCTGTTCTACGTTTAATATAACCTGCAATGCCAAGAAATAAATATGTCGATAATAGGAAACATCATCTCATTTTTCTGAGAATGCCTCCTTCCATCATTCCTGCAGTAGACATATTTTACTAACCTTCATGTAAGAATGTAAACTCCCTGAGGCAGGGGTTTTTGCTTGTTCACTGACTTATCCCAAGTGCCTAAAGCAGCGGAGTGTTCAATGAATACAACCTACAATCTAAACCATGTATTCAAAAAAGAAAAACCAGAAACCAAGAAGTAAGGCCCTAAAACAATATACATCATCGACTTGATCTCTCTGTTTGCTAACTTTCAACATGTCATTCTTAAACCAAACTTCTATTGAAACAGGATTACAATTACCAAAATACATCATAGTTAATAAGATATTTAAGAAATGTTTGTTGACATTTATCAATATAAAATTATTTCAAAATTCTTTTATCATTCCAATTTTTATCTTTTTTCAAACATTTTAGTCTTTAAATTTACACTTGAAAGAAGTTTCTGAGAATACATGTTTTTCTTTAATAAGTGCAGAGTAGAGGTCAACAAAAAGGCTTTACCTATCACTTTATTCTTCTTTCCATTTTTTATAGGCGTACAAAGCAAACTTCTAATGCACTGCTGTTTTACATTTCCTGTGTTTTCATTCTAAACAAAAACAAAAACAAGACAGCTAAATATTACGAGAAGACTGTTTGTCCATTAGATGCTATAGAAACTACATTGGACCTCGGAAGCCACTAATATATTCATCTTTTATTAGCTGGAGATAACATCAGAGTGCAGAAAATGTACAAATTATAATGAAGTTCACATAAATGTACCATAAAGCAATCAGTCTTTACATTATTAAAAATACTTAATATCCTATTTTCTTTAAAAATTTTTTTCCATATTTTCCATTTTATTTACCTGTATTTCTTTTATTTTCCATTTTAAACTCTCCAAGCAGCTTACAGTAATAGTAAGCAAAGTATTTATTCAGTTTCTACTATCCCTGTGTAGTGGATGTCTGAAATAACTTAATAAGAGGGGCAGAAGTCAAAAGCATTACACCACCTAGGATTCTACATGTTACAAATTTGTCCTTGTTTAGTTTTCCCACTGTTATCTATTGCCCATATCGCTAACGTTCTAAAAAGGTCTCCTAGGTAGGCAAATAACAAAGTCAAGGCAGCTGCCTCAAACTGCAATGCTTTTCTGAAGTTAGATGAGAAAAAATACTAGAAGTCAAGGCAGCTGCCTGAAACTGCAATGCTTTTCTGAAGTTAGATGAGAAAAAATACTAGAATTCAAAGTTTTCAGTGTCTGAGAAACTGACCCTTGTAGCTTTGCTCTCGAGGAAAACAGATACTCAGTTTTCCACAGAGCTGTTCACTGTGGTAGATTACCAATTATAGGCATTTAAGCCATATGAAACTTAACTGTTGAGGGTAAACTCAGGAACTCCAGCCATACTATCTAAAGAATGTCATTAAGTAGGTAATAGTTAAATTACCTCAAAATTAGTTTATGATAGTTCATTAATACATGTTTAAAAAACTAATAAAAGTACAGAGAAAAGTACTCAAGTACAGCTGATAACCTCTCAACAGATATTATAAGCTGTTTTATTCTCCTTCCTCAGATCACGGAAAGCATGGATCACTCCCAAAGAGCCAATTCTAGGGCCAGTCCTTCAGTTACGAGTAACTAGTTTGGGACTTCCCTGGTGGCGCAGTGGTTAAGAGTCCACCTGCCAATACAGGGGACACGGGTTCGAGCCCTGGCCCGGGAGGATCCCACATGCCTCGGAGCAACTAAGCCCGTGTGCCACAACTACTGAGCCTGTGCTCTAGAGCCTGTGAGCCACAACTACTGAGCCCACATGCTGCAACTACTGAAGCCCACGTGCCTAGAGCCCGTGCTCTGCAACAAGAAAAGCCACAACAATGAGAAGCCCACACACCGCAACGAGGAATAGCCCCCGCTCACCGCAACTAGAGAAAGCTCACACAAAGCAATGAAGACCCAATGCAGCCAAAAATCAATAAATAAATTTAAAAAATTAAAAAAAAATAGAGTAACTAGTTTAAGTGCAGATCTGATAGGAAAACAGCCTTCAAGCTCCAAGTCTAAAATTGGGTTACTTACTGTCCAGGGAAATCTTTTATCTTTACTGACATCTGGGATATTAAGTGGTTCCATAGTATTTTTGACATACTGAGCATACATGTAATTGATTCTGTTCGCATCACGTTCCCTGTGGAGATAACAGAGATGAGTTCTTTCTGTGCAGTGAAAAAACGCAGGCAAAACAGAGTCAAATAGATGATTATAAGAGAAACATACCAGTCTTAAATTATAGAGCAAAGTGTATATCTTAGTTGGAAAATGCAGCTTTAAACATATTTGATGATTTACAACTTTGGTAGTTACTATAACTGAAATGCTTTGAAAAAACAAAGACCCACAATTTTTCAGCTATCTAAAACAAGTTTAAAATGTCATTAAGTAATCTTATTACCACTGTTAATGGGCATGTTGATTTTTGTGCTGTTTAAAATCCATATGAATTTTCCCTGTGTCTCATCAGATTACAGAATGACTAAAGTCTAGTGTCTGTTTTTACTTCCTCAGTTATTTATTTAGTCTATCCATTCCAATAAAACAATCTTTTACACATTTCAGACCAAGGGAAAAATCGAGCAGGCCTAGAAGAATTTTATTAAGCTCTTCTCTCTTCTTTTTTCTGCTTTAAATTGAAAAAACATTTTTTGAACTTACAACATTTTCCCAGTTTCTTGCTTAATAGGTTGATCATAAAAGGTTAACCTGATGTCACAGGGTTCATAAGTGCAGTGCCAGTAATGGAGTTGGGAAAACAGAACAGAACGCATCTTTTCATCAGGAAACTTCCTATGTTCCTTGGTGATGGGGATGAATTCCGCAAAGAGGGTCAAGTTATAGAAATTTACTCCAGCTATAAGTATGTGCCTGTATTAACTGTAAGATCACTAACTGAAGAAAATAGGAAAGTCTAATAGTGGGAGACATTTCAAAATAAAATATGTGCCTCAGGAAAAATGTCCACTTGGTCTGAGTTCTCCAAGTGCTAATCTTTTCCCGTCTTCCATCCTTCTCACTCAGCCTGCCAAACTGCTTCTAGGACAGTGGTTTCAAATGATGTTCTCAATCACTGTGATTCCACAAAGATTCCTGAAGTCGTGGCCTCATTCCTGGCCAAGATAATTGAGTCTTTCCTTTCTTTGCTGTACATTTTAGGTTAATAGTAATTTGGTCAAATCAGGTACTGACCGTATGTCCAGTATTATATACAAGTGATAAAGAATGAAAGGGAAATGACAACAGTAACACAGGAATACATGAACTTCAGACTTAACATTTTCTGAGCCTAGATTGATAATGTGGGAAGGCATGCGAAATGTCAGACACATCAGACCTAGGACATTCCTGGGTTTCTATTTCATGCATATTATTTGGGTAGAATCCCAAGAAAAGGTTATAAGTGTAGGATGTAGGTTAACAAAACTATTTTAAAACCACAAATATTTCATGGACAGCAAAAGTCTCACGAAAAGAGAACAAGAAACTGCAGTAAAGATAAGAAAAATGAAAAGGTAGTTACAGAGAGAAAGAAACACACTGGAGAGGATATCTTTGTCCAAACCTCTTTTAAAATGATGACGATGATGACGACTTTTATTGTTCTTATCATCATCGTTATGTCAACAGTGGGAGACAGATGAAACCCAAATAGTTAAGCAACTTGCCAGAGGTCATAAATTCATATGTATAGGCACTGATACAGAGAAGCAGGAGTATTAAAATTACTTTTAAATCAATAGAAACCTAACTCTTTTTTCAATTCCCTGAAAATTTTAAGTTTTCCTGATGGTTACTTTAGTGAAAAATTAGTATTAGATTTATTAAGGTTATGTGATAGCATCTTATTTCTTACTCTGTAAAAAGTGCTAATAAATTCTTACTTCCTCCCCTCAATAACAAAAGACTGAGCACTTCATCCATGAGAGGCACCCTTAGCATCATGGGGAGACAAACTTCTAGAGGTCAGTAGCTGTCATAAGGCACTTGTAATCTCGTAGAGGACTGTGACAGAGAATGAATAATAATACAGTGTCTAGTTGCATGTCCTCTTTGAGCAGAGTCTAGTGCAGAAGCCCCCAGCTGTCCCTCAGTAACTCTTCTCCCTTTCTCTTTATCTAGACACATGGCCGCTGAGGATAAAGACTACATTTATCAGCCACCCCAGTGGCTTGGGATCATCATGTGACGATGTAAGTTCTAGGCAACAGGAAATGTGACTGCTTCTAGAAAGCTTACCTAAAAGGCAGCTGAGGCATGCTCTCTGCCCCTTCTTTCCCTGCCCCCCATCCTACCATTTGAAACGTGGATATGAAGGCTGGAGCTGCATCCTGGACCCTGGAAGGGAAGGGCCACTCCCTAGAGATGCAGAGTAGAAAGCCTGCAGGTACCTGGGTCCCTGAGGCCTTTGTAGAACAGAACAGCAACACAGAGCCTGAGCTGCCTGCCTCTGGGTCTTTACAGGAGAGAGTAATAATATTGCATTCTTATTTAAGCTATTTTTACTTTGGGTTTTTATGATTCACACTCAAACCTAATCCTGACTAATACAATTGGTAACAATGAAAGCACCACATGTGGAGAAGATGGACAGATAACTCCTTGGTGGAGTGGGTTGGAGAAGACGGGGTATTAGGGAAATGCGCAAAAGGCTGGTAAGATTTAAGGATGCATAGAAAGACGTCAAGAATGAAAAGAAGGGTGAAAAACAGTATAAAAACATTGCTGAAATGGAAGAGTTCTAGGTATATTTGGGAAACATTAAACAGCTACAGATTGTTAGGAATAAAGTGATGGTTTCAGGCTGAAGATGTTAGGACAGGTAGTGGATGATTTTGAAAGTGCAATGCAAAGGGATAGGATCTTCCTTTAAATAACAGGAATATTCTGGTAGTCTTGCAAATGTGCCTCTCAGACCTACAACTGCAGGAGACCTAAATGACCAGTGTCTCTAGTCACTGTGCTCTGAAACCCAGGACTGTGTTTGTACTGCAGACACACTTCCCAGGGCTGCTCCTGGAAAAAGATGGAGCACACACAGCAGGGGCACTAAAGTAGCCCAGGCTTGGGAGACCCAGGATGCTTTGGCTACAGAACTCCCCAACAGCCTGGCCAAACTTTCCTTAGAACTGCTCGGCTGCCTAAGACACTTCCACACAATGCTCTTTCCTTCTTTACCCTCTCTTTCACTCTGGGTCAGACTTGTGTGGGGAGCTCACGGCTCTCTCATCCCCTCCCAGTTCCCTCCCCCTTTACTCTCACATGGGGTTCCCCTAATAAATGTCTTACACATTTAATCTAGTCTTGGCATCTGCTTCTTGGAAGGCCTGGGCTAACTCAGACCTCTAAGGTTTTTTGCACAGTGGATATCGAGGGAGGTGTACGTGAGTACATCCTTGGGAAGACAGTCAGGGACACGAAGCTTGGAAACACTGAGAAACTTCTGTGCTTTTAGATGTAAATGGGAATCACTTCAGGTTATGTGAACCAAAGACAGAAATAACACATCAAAGAGACACAGAAATACTAACACTTACTGACTACTTACTATGTGCTGGAAATTTTCTGAAGCATTTTATGTGCATTAACTCATTTGGTCCTTTCTACAATCCTGCCATCAGTATCTCCATTTTACAGATGAAGAAACTGAGGCTTTGAGAGGTTAAATAATTCACACAAAGCACTATAGCTAGTAAGTGGTGGAACTTAAGTTTAAATACAATCAGTCTGATTTCAGAGTCTATACTCTTACACTCTGTATCTACGATTTTTTAAAGTAGTAAAAACCTTTCTACTATTTTAAAAATAGTGGGTGTTACTGTATTTAACTATAATTGTTTTCCAATATCGTTATAACTAATAAGTATTAACTGGTATATGTATTCCAAGAAAGTGAATTTAAAGGAGTAATTCTATGTATTTGTCATTTTATGACAAAATGTGCATTTAAAATTAACATGAAGTTAACTGATATGGAATTATAGCACTAAAATACCTATTTCTTAAAATTAAGAGCTAACATAAACTGTACCCCATCACACTCACTTTTTCCTTTGAATCGAAGCATAGAAACTCTAAAACCTCCCACCATCTGGAAATGAGCTTCCCTTCTGAATTCCTGGGTGACCCAAACTCCAACAGTTTACTGTGCTTTATCCCAGTGATGATATGATTCTAACAATTATGTGTAATGTTTACCCTGAATATTTTTTATTTTTACACTTAACATTTCAAAATATTAAGTGTAAACAGTTCTTTCAAAACTGTCTTCAATACATTATTTTAATTTATAAAAGGCAATTAGTGGGTTGGCTGGAAAAGTACCTCACTGATACATAACTGCCTAAAAAGGATGATTTGCTTACTGCTAACATCATCAAATTGCCTAGCACTTCATCTCATGGAAGAGTGCTTGGATTGACAAAGTGTTTAATAGTGAGAATTGGAGAGGCCTAAATTCTATCAATAAGCAATTTTAGAAACATAATACAGAATCTGCTGGTCAAGTGTCAATACCAGTTAGTCCTTCAAAAAGCTGAAGTTACTAAACACCATTTTAATTCGGAGTTTTCACAAAATTAAGACTGAAATCTAATTTTATTAAAATAAAACCATATTTACATCACTAAGAGGACTTTTATTGCGTCATTATAATAAAGGCTAACTATTAGCTAATGTAAGGCACTGGTGTTGAATAATTTTCATTACTGTAAAATCAGTTAATGAATCAGTTTAAATGATCCATGTAAATTAGTCTCTTTTAAGGTAACCACACTGACCTATTTATCCTTTATAAAACAATCTTTATACTAAGACTGTCTTGGTATAATTTTTAAAAGTGGAAAGATATCTTCCATTTTTCCTACAGAGAAGGAACGTGATATTCATCAGAAACAAAGTAAAAGTGCTAACAAAAGATCAAGATGAAATAAATAAATAAATACTAAGACTTAAATATATATATAGTAGGACCTCAGGTTTTTTTTTAATGCATATTGACCAGTAGAGGTCACTATCATACCAAGTCACGGGCTTGTTCAGCTATCAGAGAAATAAGAGGACTTGTCTGACTTCACAACAAAAATCAAATGTGAATACATAAAATAAAATTACACAGGCATATGCTGCTATACAAATATTCAAAGGTAAATGTAGATAATTCATCATTTTATATAAATATTTTTCTTTTTGGCCATGCTGCACGGCTTGCAGGATCTTAGCTCCCTGACCAGGGATCAAACCCAGGCCCCAACAGTGAAAGTGTTGAGTCCTAACCACTGGACCGCCGGGGAATTCCCATCATTTTATACATTTAATATGCATTATCATACTGATTTTCCTACTGTCCTCTGGATATATGTAAATTCATAAATATACATGTATATATTTCTTTTTTTATTTGTCTATATAGCAATTTATTATTCAAGCCAAATAGTAAAATAATCAAATATTTACAGGTTTAGAAGCTTTCTAAAATGTTCTTTATAAAAAGCAACAAAAATGTATGGTATCATAAAATCAAAATAGTATCTATTAATGCTCCTCCTAAGAATAAGACTTCATAACTGACCTAGGCCGTATAGCCCAATACCAGTATTTAAGAAAGATACATACATACTCTCCAGGACATGTGCATATTATCACATATTCAAAAAGGATTCAATTTCAACTAAAACAATGTCAAATATGCCAGAAAATATACACACAGAAGCTTAGAAAAGAATAGATGTGGAGACGGGATATAAACTTCAGTTCACTACCAGCAATGCCAAGAGGGAAATAAAGATCAGCTATTCTGTTCTAACTTTGTGAACCAAAAACTCCAGCGTAGCAGAAAATCTCTGGGTACAGATACCATGGTTTATGTACCCTGACTACCCATCCCACGCCCAAGTCACCAGTCAAGGCCTAAGTTAGGTGTACCTTCTGAGTCAAACCCATTCCTCACCTGCCCCCAAGTTACACTTGCTCCTTTGCTAATTCCTGAAATTCTTTTAATAGAAGAAAAGGTCTTTCATATTGTTAAAATAATCATATTGTTAAAATAACAGTCTTGAAATGAGTTTTGATTTAAATATAATCACTTAAACTAACATCTCTAAATCACTGTAGTCAACAGTTTCTCCATCTTGATGGGGAACACGGAAGAGGACAGGAAATGCGAGAAAAGTTAAGAGAAGAAAGGAAAGGGTACAGAGGGCAGAAGACAGCTTCTGCAGACCTCACACTGATCCATGGGGTCAGTCTTAATTAGGAGGGTCGGAACAAAACCAGGCTGTGCACTTAAGTATTTTGTTCTTGCAGTTGCAAACTCAGGCACTTTATATGATCTACAGAGGTGATTTTCATTTTACTTTGTTTCCAAGTTTTTATCACAAACATTTTCTTCCAATTTTTTATGATGAACTTTTGAAATACATAAGAAAGTTGAAAGTAAAATGAATATCCTATTCCTAAATTCAACAATTTTTAATGTTTTGCCACATTTGCTATATCTATATATGTGTGTGCAAACATTTATGTGTTTAAATACATTAATTTAGATATATCTACTTATTTGTTTTTGGCTGAACCGTATTTTATTTTATTTTTTGTTGGGAATTTTTAATTGAAGTATAGTTGATTTACAATGTCATGTTAGTTTGAGGTGTACAGCACAGTGATTCAGTTATACATATACATATATATGTATAACTGATTCTTTTCCCTTTTTCAGATTCTTTTCCCTTATAGTTTATGACAAAATATTGAGTATAGGCCCCTGTGTTATGCAGTAGATCCTTGCTGGTTATCTATTTTATATTTAGTAGTGTGTATATGTTAGCCTTGACCTTCTAATTTATCACCCCCACCCCCGCCCTGGCAGACCATTTTAAACTAAGGTGCAGACATCATAACACTTCATCCTTAAATACACCAGCCTGAATCTCCTAAAAATAAGAACATTCTCCTACTAACCACAATATCTTCCTAATTCCAAAGAAAAGGTACGCATAATTCCCCACCAACACCTAGTATCCAGTCCATATTCAGATTTCCAACTGGCTTAACAAATGTCTTTGAGAGCTGTTTGTTTTTAACCAGGATCTAATCAAGGTTCACATACTGCATTTGGCTGTTAGGTCTGGGAACAGTCCCTGCCTCCATTTTATTCAATGACATGGACTTTTTGAAGAGACCAGGCCAGTTATCCTATAGAATGTTCTATAGTTTAGATTTGCACAGAGGTTATTTTTGAAGTATCACCACCAAGGAGCTTGGTTACTGAGGACAGAACTAACTGTGGCATCACTCACCTATATGAAATAATTCTCTGATAAGTCAACTGAAGAGTAAAAAATCTGGAACTTTAATGTCAAATAGTAAAGCTAAAATAATGTTCTATTTCCATGATCATATGAGGCTTTTCGGTTATAATATCAATAATTAGGAGTAATATAAATTGACACAAATTATTTTAGGGATTGAAATAATTTGAAACAAATGAATAAGGAATAATGTGATAAAACCAGCATTATGCCCAAGAATTCCTGACGCTTTACCCTGGCAGACTTATATTCCTTAGACTATTTTATTGCTTAAGCAAAAACCACCACTGTTTTGCTAAGGGTGCAAAAGGAAATATGACAAGGACACTTGGTAATTTACTCTAAATCCTTTTTAAAATTCTTCAGAAAGCAAATATACAATTGGGCCAGTAACAAGTATAACCTTGATATGTTAATACTTTCTATTGTTCCTGCGTACCAGTTAACAACCACCAAAAAATGAATACTAATTTTAAAATTAAAAAAAGAAAACATGAAAAAGAAATGAACCACAATAGAGATCTGGTCTGATTCTAGCCATAGGGTACATGTATTGGTGTGACTGAGATCACAGGCTTCCTTCTGGTGTTAGTTAAATCCTATGGCTGATTCCAAAGCAGAATAGACTCATAGAAAAAAATGTGTTCAGAAGCCTGTCAAATTTCCAGTGAGGATCTAATATGCAATGAAAAAATATAATTGAAATATAGTACTTGTGGGTCTTAAATGAGTCAGTTCACAAAACACACTGTACCCAGGCCTATACTAATTGCGACACCATTCACTCTATGAAAGAATTCTCCAACATGTCAAATGCAGTGGAAAAAACCCTGGACATATAACATCAAATAGTAAAGTCTTTTCACAAATGAAATTATTTGTGGGAGGAAAAAAGCAGGTGTAGCTTCTATGCCTTAAGTTAAATAGGTCGTGAAATAACTATGTAGCCAGAATTACACACTTGTGATAAAGACAGACAGATAATTAAGTTTTCTTACCTTGTTAAAGTATCTGACGATTTTTCTAACTCCTCACACTCCATGTGAAACACACTAGAAAAAGAATCCTGAAAACAGAGCAACGACACAGACCGAGAAATAAGTTTGAGAATATAATGAAAACTATCTAAATACAGACATGAGCCTGTGGAACTGACTGAAGACACCAATCCTCGCAATTTCTTTTCACTTTTTCAGACAAAACTGACCTAAGTGCTCACAACATCCTCAAGTCTACCTCCTATTACTTAGAACATGCTGCTGTTGTTTCTGATACTGACTTGCAAAAATGCTTATTTGAGCTTTTGTTCTTCTGCCAGCTGTTAATAAATAATTAGCTTCAGATTTTCTCTATATTTATTCAAAATCCTCAAGTTTTAGCTTTTATGCATACATTGATTGCTACTGTTGGGTCTTTTGAAAAGACACCTAATTCAGTAATATTTTATGAGATCATTAAATTATGAAGATTTTAACGACACAGAGAAGCATTTTTGAAGTTAAATTAAAAAGCAAAATACACATTTGAACCCATACTATATTTACAACTGAATAAAAAATTAGAAGGAAACACAAATAAAACAATGGTATCAGTTTAATTTGGGGACAGAAGAACTAAGTACATTTCTTTTCTTGTTCACATTTGGATTTTTGCTCATGTGTTGAAATATTTTTAATCAAAAAATAATTACAGTATAAATGAACATCAAGTCACTTAATTGCTACACCCACCAAATTAAGTCATTAAAAAGCGAGCAAAAATATTAATGGGCAATACTGCTGAGCTATATTTTAAAGCAACACTGACACCAGTCAACTGCTGCCGTGATAGGGGTTAACTGGATGAGCTGAATGTTAATTAAAGTGATATTTAAATTGTCTAAAAAAAAGGAGTGCCCTTATGTATAACTTTCAAAAATTAAATGCCAAAGAGCAGGTCACAGAGCAAAAATGATAAACTGACATACTGCATTAAAGAGTTCTGACCTGAACTGTAAAAGGATAGTTCCAATCTTGTAATTATCTCTATATTAAGGAGCTTATAACTGATTGAAAATATTAAATAATATCCATGAGAATACTATCTCATAGCATAGTGAATTCTTATTTGATTTCCTATTAATGAGAATCTCTCTCTCTCACACACACACACACACACACACACACACACACACACGATGATTCAGATAATGTTGCATCACACAGTACGATCTTACTATCTAATAAAATAATTAAAAATATAAGTTTTAAATATCTTTTATTATTCTACTTCCCAAAAAACCATCAATTCAGATATCATATGTGGACTGTAATTGACTTTATACACTTGAGAATTCCCATTCTTTTTCCTAAGCCACCAATGAAGAGCCTGTTCTCAGGGTCTAAATGAAAAAGGAAGCAAACAACTACATCAAAAAGAAATATGCCAAAAACAGTGGTTCATTGGTTGAGAAGGAAAAGAAACTGCATAAAAGAAAACAGCCTTGGGCTACAGGCCCTGATGCTAACAGCAGACTCAGGTGGCCTGTCTAGAAGTAACCAGCACTGTATGAGAACACTCCATCTTTACACACACATCCTGTCTCTTTACATTACAAATCAATGGCTTGAAATCTACCAATCAGCACAG